AAGGGAGAGCAGGAGAGAGGCGGGGGGGGAGAGGGGGGGAGGGAGAGAGAGAGAAGGAGAGAGAAAGAAGGGGGGGGGGGGAGAGAGAGGGGGGGGGGGAGAGAGAGAGAAGGAGAGAGAAAGAAGGGGGGAGAGTGAAAGAGAGGAGGGGGGAGAAAGAAGTAAGGGAAAGAGGGAAGAAGAGAGGGGGAGGAGAGAGAAAGGGGGAGAGAGGGAAGGAAAGAGAAAGGGGGAGGAGAGAATGGGAGAAAGAGAAGGAGAGGAAGGGGAGAAAGAAGAGAGGCGAGAAAGAGGGGGAAGAGAGAAAGAAGGAAAGAAAGGAGGAGAGAGGGAGAGGGAAAGAGAAAGAGAAGGAGGGAGGAAGAGAAAAGGAAAGAGAAAGAGGGAGGAGAGAGAGAAGGAGAGGAGAGGGAGAGAGAAAGGGAAGAGGGGGGGGGGGAGGGGGGAGAAAGAAGTAAGGGAAAGAGGGAAGAAGAGAGGGGGAGAAGAGAGAAAGGGGGAGAGAGGGAAGGAAAGAGAAAGGGGGAGGAGAGAATGGGAGAAAGAGAAGGAGAGGAAGGGGAGAAAGAAGAGAGGCGAGAAAGAGGGGGAAGAGAGAAAGAAGGAAAGAAAGGAGGAGAGAGGGAGAGGGAAAGAGAAAGAGAAGGAGGGAGGAAGAGAAAAGGAAAGAGAAAGAGGGAGGAGAGAGAGAAGGAGAGGAGAGGGAGAGAGAAAGGGAAGAGAGGGAGGGGGAGGGGGGAGAAAGAAGGGGAGAAGGATGGAGGAAGTGAGAAAAGGAAAGAGGGGAGAGAAGGAGGGGAAGAGAGGAGAGGGGGAGGGGAGAAAGAAGAGGGGAGAGAGGGAAGAAGAGAGGGAGAGAAGAGGGAAAGGGGGAGGAGAGAGTGGGAGAAAGAGAAGGAGAGGAGGGGGAGAAAGAAAGGCGAGAAAGAGGGGAGAGGGATGGAGGAAGAGAGAAAGAAGGAAAGAGAAAGGAGGAGAGGGGGAGAGAGGAAGAGAGGGAGGGAGGAAGAGAAAAGAGGGAGGAGAGAGAGAAGGAGAGGAGAGGGAGAGAGAAAGGGGAGAGAGAAGGAGAGAAGGATGGAGGAAGAGAGAAAAGGAAAGAGGGAGGAGAGAGGGAGGGAGAGAGAAGGAAAGGAGAAGGGGGAGAGAAAGAGCGGGGAGAGAGAGAAGGGGAGTGAGAGGAGGGAGATAAAGAGTGATGAGAAAGAGAGAGAGAATACACAGAGGTGTCCTTGATGATATTTTCTTCAAAGTCTTTCTTTTCTCTTATGCCGTAGGGGATTTGCTCCTCTCCAACTCCTTCCCTGAACCGGCTGTAACTGGTCCAGCTGGACCTCCGGGCCCAACCGGTAAGAATGGTCACATCCCAACCTGTCTGGAAACACCGACTGTCAAAGTCGAACCGCTTTTGGTTGAACAATAATGGACAATAAACCTTTTCTAAGCTTTCTAGGAACCTGGTTTCTGTGCAAATATATTATATTAGGTGTCAGGGTAATGATGATTTAATAGCTGACCAGCTACTACAATGCTTTAATGATGATGCAATGGTAGTAAGGAGTCAGCAGAGTTAAAATTACCACTTTAAGAGGCTGTTTTACAAGAGAGGTCCTGTGAAGGCATCTCTCTCTTTCCATGTGTGCTTCCGTGCTGTAGTTGCTGATTGATTGCCTGGCTTTGCCTAGTACATGTAGGTATATATTCCTTGTAGATAAACCACTCTTTGAAAGGCAAACCTCTGTTTACTGCATTTGGCTCCTGGGTTGTCTCAAAAAATAGTCACACTGCGTGCACTCTGACAACCTTGGCAACTTTTAAGAGGTGTGGATAAGAAATGTGGACTTCCATTCCCAGAAGTCTTCTTCAGCCCCCTTTTCTTACAAGAGCCATTCAGCAGAAGTAGAGAGCTGACCAGGATATGCTGTCTTTCTCTCTTTAGGTCCTCCAGGACCTGCTGGGAAACCAGGTTCTCCAGGGCGTGACGTAAGTAGACCAACCATCTCCCCAGGAAATTAGATTATGGAATTAACGGAGTTGGAAGGGACCTTGGAGGTCATCTAGTCTACACACACACACCTAAAGCAGGAGACCTTACACCATTTCTGACAGATGGCAGTCCAATCCTCTTCTTGAAAGCTTCCAGGGATGAAGCTCCCACAATTTCAGAAAATGCCTCCTTATTTCTAGGTTGAATCTCTCCTTGATCAGTTTCCATCCAATGTTCCTCGTCTGGTCTTTGGAGGCTTTGGAAAGTAGCTGGACCCCCTTCCTCTCTGTGGCAGCCCCTCAAATATTGGAAGGCTGCTCTCCTGTCTCCCCTGGTCCTTCTCTTCACTAGACCAGCCATGCCCAGTTCCTGCAACCGTTCTTCCTTCTGTTTTAGTCTCCAGTCCCGTAATCATCTTTGTTGCTCTTCTCCGTACTCTTTCTAGAGTCTCAATATCCTTATAGTGTGGTGACCAAAACTAGATGCAATATTCTTAAGTGTGGCCTTACTAAGGCTTTGTAGAGTGATATTAGTACCTCTCTTGATCTTGAGTGTATCCCTCTCTTAATGCAACTTAGGATTGCATTGGTCTTTTTGGCTGCCGCCGCGCACAACTAGCTCGTATTTAATTGGTTGTTCACTAAGACGCCAAGATTCCTCTCCCAGTGACCACTATTAAACCTGGTTTCACCCAGTCTATATACAGTATGTTCTGTGTGGGGATAACTGCTTTTCTCAATAGCTGGCAAACCACGTTGAGAAATACAACTGTCAGCACAATGATCCTTCCTTAGCTGAGCCGAGGTGGCGCAGTGGTTAGGGTGCAGTACTTGCAGCCACTTCAGCTGACTGCTAGTTCTGCAGCTCGGCGGTTCAAATCCCACCAGGCTCAAGGTTCACTCAGCCTCCCATCCTTCCGAGGTGGGTGAAATGAGGACCCAGACTGTGGGACATTTGAGACATTTTGAGACA